ATCAGTTAAATTGTGAGGAGTCGCCGGGAGGTCGACAATTGCAGCTTTGGTTTATCGTATGCACACTCTCGTGATAATACAGTTGGTCCTCGGAGATACCTAATAAGCGAGTGTAACCAATGTCATTAGCCACTGAAGAGAAATATTTGGAAAAGTGCTCCGCGATTTTACGTTGATCCCGTTCAATGACGCCTCCGATGTCAAGGTTTATTAGAACGTTTCCACACTCTTTCGACTTTGAGTGAGGAAAGGCTTAAAAACACGTAGAAATTCTTGGGATTTGTTATCAGATCCTCAGCCTTTTTGCTCCAATACTCTTTGATTGCTCTCCGCCAAAGTCTTGTAGCAGTATTCCTCCACGTTTTCTTTAGTCCTCGGTTCTCCTCAGTAGGGTTTCTTGCATATCGTTTCGCATACCTCCTCTTTTTTCTAATTGCCTTTTTCCATTCAAATGTCATGCACGGTAGGTCCACTGCACAGAATCTCATCTTTTTCAGCGGAACATGATCATTGATAATGCTGGTCAGACGTACCAATAAGAATATTGGTCGTCAATTGAATCGAAGTTGCTGTTAACATGCCAAGGAGCCATGTCTAAATACATTTGTAACTCCTTTTCATTCAACTCTTTGTAGCTTCTTACAGTCAGCACCTTGCTTTCGTAAAAACTATTTCATTCTTAATTTCATGAGTCCATATACCAGCGCATGGTCACTTATTCCGACATCACAAACGCCACAATCCTTAAACAGCTCAGGCTTGTTAGTCAAAATAACATCAATTAGAGTTTGGCTGTTGTTAGTAATCCTTGTTGGTTTGGTTATGACACAAGTCAGCCCTCAAACAAATGCACTCTACAGGTGAGTCATCGGAGTAGTTTTTAAAGGAGTTACAGTGGAAGCCCTCGTAAGCGGACACCCTCGGGCCTGTTGGACAGCGCTAAGACAAATGTTTTTCTACTTGACATGTTCTCCCGTTCATACATCCTGCTCTGCTTGTTTCAGCAGCTGTACACGCTACGGAGATTAACAAATGTAAAAGTCATGTAACAAAATATAGTTCCTCACTGCAGTGCACGTTTCTTGCATGAGTTTTCCAAATGTGGAATTTTTATTTGCTGAAGGCATTGTTTACATTTTATTTAACAGTATACGACTTTGCTATAGCTGACTTAGCAATCAGTGAAGATTTAAGCTGGCGCTTGTAACATACACCATATTCGTATTCTCGGTATTGGACTGGAACTAGCTTGCAATAGAGGCTCATGGGGGGGAATACCATTAAAAAGCATTTGAAAAGACTCCCCGCATTAGCCTCAGTTGCAAGCTAGTTCCAGTCCGATACCGGGAATATGCATATGGTTTATTGAAGGGGCTTCAATGCGTTCAGATCACTAGAAATGGTTAATTTTGCCACAGCCTTGATATCTTTACAGCATCATTTCCGAAAGCAATTTAAAGGCGGATCTGGGAATTTATAAAGAAGGTACTTATCGTAAATGAATTGAAGAATATCGGAGTTCTCTCAATTGAAAGTTGAAAGATAAAGGAAAAAGCAATTTTAATTGTAATGGGTCCAAAATTAAAACTGAGCTAGGTGAACGATGTTGACCCCTTCAAAGAAACGATGTCATATTAGATTATGAAAACAAACAGCCACGCTTAAGTTCAACTGAAGTTTCGTCTATACAACGAACGTTTTTCATGGAAATACAGACATGACAAAATAAAGTAAATGAATTAATTAACTTATATTCCCTATCAGTAGCACAACAAACCATCAGAGGAAATGGCACAGGATTATATTATTATTATTATTATTATTATTATTATTATTATTGTTATTATTAATGGTAATAGGACTGAGTGGACT